AGACGATGCGATTGGCACAGGACAGAACAGAGTTTGGAGATGTTGTACATAGGGTCGTTATGAGTCGCAAGCAACTTGATGGCACATAACAACATCATCATACTGTTACATTATGGGTTGGCTGCACTTCAAAGGTATGTATGCTGCAAACCTGGAGGCACATGGTTCAAATCCACCAGCTGCTCCAAGGGAGAGGATGGGCAATCTCCTCCTGTGTGATTACTGCCTTTGAAAACCCTCTGGAGGGTCAGCTATGGGTCAGGTCCAACTTGAAAGTACACAACAACATACTGTTATAATAAATAAAAAACACACTCAGAAGCTTTAGGAACGCCAATCCCCTGGGATCTGTATTGAGTTCCTTATTTTAAATCATAGTTAGGAGCCATCAAGTCAACTGCAGCTCATAGGAGCCCTGTGAACAATGGATCTAGATCTTACCCTATTCTCCACCATCCTCACGATCTCTGTAATGCCTGCTGTGGCACACACTGTGTCAGTCCATCTTACCCAGAGTAAGTGAGTCCAAGTTTCATTATCCTTGCCTTTAAGGAGACTCTGGTTGAAAATTCTTCAAGACATTTGGGTTTTTTTGACAGTTCATGGTATACTGAATATTTTTTTCCATCAGTCGGCCTAGTGGATGTTATTCTCGAGATGCGTTCTGAGTGACTTCCAACCATCCGCCTGCACTATGTCCAACAATGTTCTACTGTTATCTCTAAAGCTTTCAAAGGCCTGTTATTTCAGAAGTGGATGACCAGTCCTGCTTCTTAGTCTGTAAGCTCTCCTGAAACTTGTCCATCATGTGTGACTCTGCTAGTATTTGAAATACTGGTGGCACAGTTTCCAGCATCACAGCAACATGCAATCCACCACAGAACAGCAAACTGAAAGACGAGTGTTGGTATGTTAACTCGCCAGTGAGTGGAATATGTTAAGCAGACAGTCTTACTTTAGTTAAAGCTTAGAACTTAAGAGAATTTGAACAATTTGACTTTTTAACCAAAGGGAAAAAAGAAGAATAATGAACAAAGAATAACCATAGGAAAGAAGATAAAAGGCAGCTTACACAGGTAGGCTTGGTAAAGGCGGGTGAAGGGCTAAACAGGAGAATAAATCACTCATGACCTATACCTCTGATCCAGAAATTTAAGAAAATAAAAATAACTCCAAGTTTGTTAAATACATCCCTCATACGTCTTTTTCTCCATCTCTTAAGCAATCACCAAGTCATGTCCACTAAGTTACTTCTACAAACTTTCTGGGTGATGCAAATGTTAAATAGTTTGAGTACTGGCAAAGGCTAGCAGGTCAAACCCACCCAAAAGTGCCCAAGAGGAAAAGCCTGGTGATCCGCTCCGACTTCACTGTACACATGGATCGCCGTGAGTCCAAATACACTTCAAGGCAACTTTTTGGTTTTAAGTTACTTCTATAAAATATGATCCTTTCTTCCAGATAAGGAACCTGGTGGTATGATGGTTAAAGCACTTAGCTGCTTTAAAGTCTTGGACAGCTAACTGCAAAGTCAATAGTCCAAACTCACCAACTACTTCTATAGAGAAAATGTGGCAGTCTTCTTCCCTAAAGACTTACAGCTTTGGAAATCCTAGGAGGCAATTCTACTCTGTCCTGTGGGGTCATTATAAATCTATGGCAAAGGCTTCTTCTAGATGGTAAACTGTCCCAGGGCTTACTGACTTTCCTAGAAACAACAGAGGGGCACTGCAAATGATAATCATTAATGCTCTAATCCTAATTAGTAACTTCTCTGTATTTTTTTGACTTATGGTTTTAGCAGCACTTACCTCCAACAGTCTCTTAAAATGCAAAATTTCAAGGGTGAAACCTAAGCAAGACTGACACTGTAAAAGACTGCAATCATCAACAGGACCCAGGACAATGGCAGATATTAAAGCACCCTGACATCATGCAGTCAAACCACTAAGGACTCTTTGAAAGGTAGACCGTATCTACACTTGAAACACCTCTTTATTAACAAACCTGTTTCAGGTTCCTCTTCAGCAACATGAGGATCAAAAATATTAAGTCTCTTCCCCTGGAATATATTCTTCCTAAAATTTAAAAAGAAAACACAAATATATTTTAATGAACAATTTTACATACTGTCAACTAAAATTAGAAAAATATTTTACACGAAATATTCAAAACAGAAAAGTAGAAATTAAAAATAATTTTAATGACCTTCATCAGGCATTTCCACTCAACTGTCATATCATTAAAGCTAACTGAATTTTTGCTTCATAATACAACAAACCAATTAAAGCATTTTCATTTCCATAATGCATGACTGAACAGATTAGCATAATTTCCTATAATTTTTATTTGGTATACTTCAAATCAAAGTTTTAGAAAACTCAATGTTCTGGAAAGCTACCAAAATATGTTAAATTAGAAATTGTTAAAAAAAATTAAAAAAGAAATTGTTAAGGTAAATATTTGTCTAAATTTAAGGGCAGAAAACATGGCAATATTCAATTACAAATTATAATTATGAAAGATTACACAAGTAAGTAATCACTCCATAATTTTAAAATAATTATTAATCTTTTCACAAAATTATTTTTAGTTAAATATTAAAATTAATGCCACAATGTTAACAGGTAATTTTTCCTTATATATTATAATTATCTCTATGCATCAGTTCACATATTTGAATAAATTTACAGACAGATTCAAAACCAAATTATAAGCTGGAGAGTTTGTTTTAAAAAGAATTTTTAATTCTTTCTCCTTAGATCAAATTACTTTTTTTTATGAGATGATACTAAATGAAAAACTGCATATATCATTATGAGAATTAGAAGAAGTGATTTGAGATCATGCAAGCTTTTCTCTGGCAGTCTCCAACATTTGGACACAAAATCCTCCACACAAGGCCCTCGATGAGACAGAGTGACCCAAGAGCTCCCACAAACAGCTCAAACAGAGCAATGACTGTGAGGGCAGACAGGACCAGGCAGTGCTTCTGGCTGTCGTAGTTAAGGTGACCAGGAGTTGGAACCCACTCAGTGGTGGCCAACCACCACACTGTTCCCTGAAATCAAACAAAAGTAGATTGTAGAGCTTCCTCAGAATACCTTTTACTAAGATTAGCCTTCTTCTTCAAATAGTCAAAATCATTATCTTCATCAAACTGAATCCGAAGCTCTGATTGTGAACTAACTTTCACTGCAGCATATTTGGCAACTTTCATATCTGATATTATGCTATTGAAATATAAAAAAAGTCAAGTATTAGACATTTTAGCTACACAATATAGTAATAACCTTTCTTTCCTTTTTTTTTTTAAAATATGGAACGCTTCACGAATTTGCGAGTCATCCTTGCGCAGGGGCCATGCTAATCTTCTCTGTGTCGTTCCAATTTTAGCATATGTGCTGCCGAAGCGAGCACGTAATAACCTTTCTTACATAAGAGTGTAATGCTTACTTCACTTTTGTCCATTAACATGGCATAAAATTACATTTAAAGAAAAAACTCTCACGACAAATTAACATATATCACAGACTATTTAATATTTATGCTTACTTCTATCGTGTAAAGATATTCTTCAGGAATCTTCATATAAAATCAAGTCTCAGACT